ACTATAGATCCCAGAATTTTGTGCCCTAAGTTGACGAAGATAACCTAAAATGTCGCCTTCTGTATTTAGCCTTCCAGCTAATCAGATGATTTTTGGCAGGCGAGTATGGTTTTCATTTCCGAGAGCAACGTAAGCTTTATCCCTCCAAGTACACTGATTATTACGACGACCGAGTGGTCTGGGTGCAACAGTTGGAGTTCATACCGAAATTTGATCCGCTTTTCCTTCTTTTTCATGATGATATTTTTCTCAGCAGAGGGAGATAACTCGATCACATACATCACCTTGTTTTGATGGTCGAAGAGAACTATGTCAGGCTTGTTGGCTTATGTTAGTCTGACCGTCGAAAACGAGTAATTCCAGTAAACCCGGCATTTCTCGTTCTCAACAATGGACTCAATATCTCCAGGGACGTAAGGCAGGTTGGAAGGTGTTTGGTCTGCCGCGTACGAGTGCAGATGGTAGCACTCGTAACGCCGCGTTATGTCGGTGGATGTAGACTGAAATCAAATATATGGAAAAATAAGCGCATAACCGATATCAGCGCTTATCGGCAGGTCCTGCAGTTGATATAAGGGAACACTACACGCCACACACGACTAAGGGTACTTTTATGTTGGACCTGTGATAAACGATAAGAACTGCGTTACTAGCGAAGCGAAAAAAATCAAAATATACTTTATATGGAAGTATCTTGATTTATCGCGTGTAGCATCGCTCTTATCGTTTATCGCCGCTCCAACATAAATATACCAAGATGTTGATAACACTATCCTAGCAAGCCATAATGAATCTCTCGTTTTCCGAATTAAGCCTATTATTATAATTATCATCATGGAATAAGGGAATAAGACCGTCAATGATTGACTAAGGGCTTGAACATGCAAATAGGCAAGTCGATATTATCTACACTGACTTTTCCAAAGCCTTTGATCGCCTGGATCACTGTACTCTATTAGACAAATTGAGTAAGTTTGGACTGTCATTGATGCAGTTAGAATTTTTCTCTTCATATCTAGAGAATAGGCGTCAGTATGTGGAATACCGTGGTTACAAGTCGTTTGACGTCCTAGCCACCTCCGGTGTACCCCAGGGTTCTGTACTGGGCCCGCTTATGTTTGTTGTTTTTATAAATGATATTGCAGATAATCTTAATGTAGAGAGTCACTTATATGCCGATGATTTAAAAATATATTGTGTCATAGAAAACGAACAAGATTGTGAAAATCTTCAGAATAACCTAAACATGGTAAATGACTGGTGCCTATCTAATAACTTGCCTCTCAACATATCTAAATGTAACTCATTCACCTTCTCTAAAATGCGTAACCCTATCAACTACGGTTATCATATAAACGATCAAATCTTGCAGAGACCGGATACAGTAAAGGATCTTGGAGGTATATTTGATAAGTGTTTAAGTTTTAAGGAACATATTAATTTCACTATCGCATCGGCACTAAAAAGTTTAGGTTTTATAATTAGAAATTGCAAAGGGTTTAATAATACTGATATTATGAAACTGCTGTACTATTCATTCGTACGTTCAAAATTGGAATACTGCTCGTTGATATGGTCCCCAGGATATGCCATTTATATAAATAATGTTGAGAATATTCAGCGCCGTTTTGTTAAATATTTGTGCTTTATTGAAGATAATATTTATCCAATAATTGGATATCCGCAAAATGTGATGTTGGAAAGATTTCACATGTCAAATTTTGAAAATAGAAGAATAGCACATTCATTAATCTTTCTTTACAAAATTATGCATAACATGTTCGATTGCCCTCTCATTTTGGAGCAACTACATTTTCATGTACCTCGTATGACAAGTCGAAACTGTGAAACATTTTATCTTCCTACACCTCGAACTAATTTATTAAAATTCTCTCCTTTGTATTTTATGTGTAGAAATTATAATTTACTGCAAGATCAGCTTGATATATTCAACTGTAGCATTCGTTCAATTAAACAACTTGACTTATAATTTATAACTTTCGCTATACACTATTCTACTGTAGTTCTATTTTAATGTGTTTTTTTATTTTACTTTATTTTATTGTTATTAATATTCTTTTTGTTTTTATTATTATTATTGTTGTTGTTGTTATTGTTTTTATTATTGTTATTTTTTATTATTGTAATGCATGTTGTTATTTTGCAATGCCTGTTTATTATAATGTTCACATTTTTCATTGTAATGTTCCCACCCTGTAAATGGTTACCTGTTGGGTGGTAGTATCCAAATAAATAAATAAATAAATAAATAAACATAAATAGACGGGGATTAGATACGCAAAGACAGCTAGCAGTTATGTATAACACGATATAGATAGACATTCACACAATTTTTTTTAAAAATAAAAATAAATTAGGTTTCCTCTTCTTGGTAAAAGTTTAAAATATAGAGTGGAATGAAAAAATAATAACGCTGAAAAATTTTTTTGCTAATTATTATTTACTACTTTTACAAAACTTGCCATAGATAGGTACAACATATATCTTTTAAAACAATTATTTTCCTGGTTATTTGCCAAAATGCTGAAACTTGGATACAAAAAATATAATATGCACATTATCTTCAGTGTGACTGACTCAATAATGCTATTTTTAATTCCAACTATTCTGTTTAGTAAAACCAAAAATAAATAAAACAAAAGTTAAACAATCACTTTAAAAACTTTAAAACATCTGCCGACACGTGTTTCTGCTTTTAACTTCGTCTGGACAGCTCATTTAAAGGAGGCAAAGTAACTAAATACTAGTAAACCCCAATGTAATAAACATTGATTGTTTCAGAGAAAAGGATAATTGAAATTATATATGTGAACTAATTTTGCGCTTTATTTTCATACACATTTACTTGAAGTAGTATTTAATTGTTATATTGTAAGGAATTTAAAGGGTAATATAAGATGTCCAATGACAGTTGAAATTATAGGTGCATTGATATTCATTACTACGAATACTGTATCGTCTGATTTAATCAAGATAGCCATGCATTGCTTAAATATTTCTCATTTTCCACTTAGTTAATTATGAATTTAATTTCCCCGTGTATAGATAAATATAGGTGAAAGGAACATTTATTTTTACGACACATTGAGTTTTAACAAAAAATAAACTAGTTATTGTGATAAAAGTGTACGGCGCCCATGACCTTTTTTATTGTATATTTTACGCCAACATCTGTGCGGCTTAAGCAACAAAGAAGAAAACTTTCAATATTCAAATTGGAGAGATTAAAAGAAACCCAGTGTAGCGAAGACTACAGAGAATACATAAGAAACCCCTAGTATAATGTAATTCGCATTAAGTTAAGATTTACGTAGTTTTTGTTGCAGTCGAACAAGAAACAAAGACATTTGCATAATTTTCCTTTGTAACCGTAAACTCACTTGATATCATCTAAACTAAACCTTGGATATAAAGGATAATTATGAAAATTAACAATGTTAATATTTACATGCAAGGTTGCAACAAATTTTGCACTTGCAGTTTAGATTTTCTTCTGCATGCAGAGTCTGGAACTTTAGTGCTCATCATATTACCGAGAAAATTGAATGAGAAGTATTATAAAGTTCATATGTGCATCCTTCTTAAAGGCTTGTCGTACGTGATGAACTAAGAAATTTACTTTTAGTTATGCAGCGAGTGGAAAAGTAACGGTTTTGAATCGACATTTCAGGAGGCATTTGCCACGTGTCCTCTTCTGAGTATTCCTATCAACGTAAAATTATAATATTCTCCAAGTAGATCATCTGTTAACTTCACTGACGTGAAGCAGTTGTCCATCGTGATGTTGCACGAAGTACATTGTGAAAGTTGTATTAATGTCTTCACAAAATAATCTTTCTAAAGGTAAACCTCGGTTCTAGTTCTTTTGCCACATACAGTGGCAAATATTGAAATCATTATTCACTGTAGTGAATAATGAATATCATTATCCTTGAGGATGGATACTAAATAGACTGTAACAAATTAAACGGACTCTTAAGCAACGAAAATTGGATAAACATACTAAATAATAATGTCGAAGATGCAACAAATAATTTCGTTGATATATATATATATATATATATATATATATATATATATATATATATATATATATATATATATATATATATATATATATATATATATATATATATATATATATATATATATATATATATATATATATATATATATATATATATATATATATATATATATATATATATATATATATATATATATATATATATATATATATATATATAAACATTATTTAGAATTAAGCACTATCACAAAAATAGGTACAAATAAATGCACAAAAATAAAGCCCCGGATTACGTTTGGAATTTTAAAATCAATAAAAACCAGAGATACTTTAAAAAAACAATCCACTTTGCAACCTGACAATAACCATTTAAAAAATTATTATAAAAAAATATAGAAATTATGTAACAAAATTAATTAAAGTAACAAAAGATAATTATTATGAACATGAAATTAACCAAGCACAGATTAACTATAAAAAAATTTGGAATTTACTATCTGAAGCAACAAATGATGTAAAACAAAATATTAATAAATACATATTAACTTAAAATGATAAAGAAATAATAGAACACGAAAGAGTAATTGCGAATATATTCAATAACCACTTTATAAATATAGGAGTAGATATGCAAAACCAAATAAAGCAAAATATACATGGTGACATCAAACAAAATGACAATGCGATAAGAGTAAACAGTATAACAGAAATAATTATTTGAAATTATTTTCGAAAAAATTGCATAATTTGTTTTCGTTCCAACTTCTTTGGAAATAATTAAAAACTAAGGATACTCTATAAGCACATAACGACTGTAATTCATTTTTAAGTCATAACAGCTTGGTTTACTTTCGTCTAATGATTTATCTGTTTTAGATATTAAATACGAAATAGAATTTTGTTTCGACACAAGTGGTAGAACACAGCTGAGGTAGAACGCAGAGGGACATACGCTGGGGGGATGGTAGCCGAGTGGTTAAAGCACTCACAGCTATTTACTCGGTACCGAAAGTCGATGGTTCGATTCCATCCTGGAGCAAGTAGGAAATTTGGTTTGTAATTTGTTTCAAACTAAGATGGGGAAAAGGAATTATCGATGTCCTTGTGGTTCAGACTCCACAATAAACTGTAGGGCCCCGTCCCTCTTTACCGAACACAGAATCTTAGGATTTTCAGAGGATTACTTCGTTGACTTGTGAGACGTATAATAAAACATTCACAAATTTCATATATTATTGATTAAAGAGGTACATGTCACCAGCTATTGTTTCCAGTATCTCTTAAAGTGGGTTGGAACCTTTGATGTGAAGATAAATTCACGTAGTTTTCCACGAAACACCAAACCGTCATATACTGCACTCGACGCGCATTTCGCCAACCAAGTTGGCATCATCTGGAGATGACTAAAACTAGCCTTATACTAACAATATATCCTATTTATACTTAAAATATCCTATACTATGGCTATGCTATATTATACTATGATATACCTAAACCTATATAGCGTATCCTATTTATATCTAAACTATGGATAGTGACAGAGGGCCAATCCCAAATAGCCCGCTATGGTTCACCTGATCGTGACAATAGTTTAGGTATGAATAGGATACATTGTTAGCATAAGGTTAGTTTTATCATCTCCAGATGATGCCAACTTGGTTGGCGAAACGCGTTGAGTGCAGTGTATGGTGTTTTGGTGTTTCACGGGCAACTACGTCAGTTTTTTTCAGTGTCTCTGCTTTTATTAATGTTGGTTACACTGTATCTATATTATACTTCAACGAGCAAACCTGGATAATACAAATTCCAACGTAATATAAAAAACTATTCGAGCAAATTATAACTAAAATGTTGAAACTATAAAACTTCGTTTAGTAGGCGACATTTTCCCCATTCTCGCAGTTTGAATAGTCGCCGCAGAACACACACGAAAAAGCTGTCATAACCATACCGCAATAAATTAAATTTATGGAGACTTGAATTGTTTTGTCTGCTATAAAGTACAAGGAATATCAGAAGCGGGGAGTTAACTTCGCCAAACTTGGTAAGAAAATAAAGTAAAAATACATTGTCAAGTAAGGTTTTATCTATATAATTTTGTATAGCTGAGAATGATGTATTGTGAAAACTTTTAATAGATACAAATATATACAAGTCAACAAGTCTTTTGGGAACAATTTTTCTGAAACTCACTGAAAACCTTTGCATTTTTCCGAATAAATGAATATAAAAGACAAATGAATAAATATTAAATAAAAATACTGTTAAAATATAAAAATTATTGATAATGTAACTAAAAAAATAGTAGAGCCGTGTTTTCCCTTTTTTTTATTAATAAAGCCACACTCAAAAAAAAAGCCGTCATTCGCGATATAAATTGTATGGGCGATATATAGGGTGGGCCAGATTTTAATCGGGAAACTTAAAGATTCGATAGAACACACCAAAATTTGTCATATAAACTTATAGCTAAAAATGCTTAGTTTTCGAGATAAAAGTTTTAATTTATTTTAAATTTTTTTCTCATATTTCTCTTGAAATAATAGTTTTCATCCTTCCATTCTAACTAGTGACGGTATGGGGGTGTCGAACATATTCTTCTCAAAAAAAAGAGACGCCACTGGCCTAAGCTATATTTTCTGTCTTTTTCGACATTTAATATCATTAGTGCACAAAAACGTTTTCTTATAATTTTTTGATAGGATGCAATGCCTTTGAGTTGAACTAATTTCAAAATCATTCATCCCTTATCAATTAGCAATTGAGAATCGTTAAAAAAATTACATGGTTTTGCATTTTTCCATTAACACAATTTCGAATGGAAAGATGGAAAATATGATTCGAGATATACGCAACTTACGCCTTCTGAATTTCATAACGTCTCAATTATTTCCGGAGAAATGCGCCCTCTATCTCGAAAACAAGTATTTTTAAGCTATATGTTTATATGACAAATCTATATTATTTTAGCGTGCTCTATTGATTCTCTAAGTTCCCCGATTAAAATCTGGTCCACCCTGTATACAGAAATATGATGCTGCATATTGGTTTTTACATAATTTGCGTATAAAAAATGCCACCTTTTGCACTGAAATAAAATACTGTAAATTCTTTATTATAATTAGTTATCGGGAGGTAGCGATAAATTTCAGAGACGTCTTACGTATATATTTTACATTATATTAAACACCTAATGAAATATTCCAATACGATATGAAATGATAAAATAGGTAATCTTATGTACTTAATCTGTTTTCCAGGCCCGGCGGAAGAAAAAATGTATACCGGGCAAGTATCTATTCTGGCGCCCCCCAGCGGCGGATTTAGAATAAATTGACAGGGGGGTACAACTAAGAAAAATACGCCGCTGGCGAAAATTTAGTATTTTTCAAGGTCAAATGCTCTAAAAGTTAAAAATTTGAGTTGTAAAAACATTTTCTCCGAAAAATAAGTTTCGTCGAAAAAATTTATCATTTTTTAACATAGCTAAAACAAGTAAAATTAGATTTTTCGATCCAACACGACGGTCAAATGTTTACATCCACTCCCAGCCCACTCCCCATATCCTAACCTTAACCACCGACGGACTCAGTATCGCTTGCAGCTTCTACCTTCCACCTGATAAAAAAGTCGTAAATTATACGTATAACGTATAAGTAGTGCATTATGGGATCATGATATTTAGACGGCGCTGCGGCTTGGTGCTTCTCTTGGCGGCAATGGATCATTTACAATTTACAAAGACATTTGATACCTGAGCATTTTAATTCCCAGCTCCAGTATCAAAATTAATAATTATTTGTCACATTTTAACTTCGTTTATGGCGAATAGCATCAAGTAGATGCCCGGGTCGTCCGGCGCTTCCACCGAGTCTGCCGTTTTCGCTATATAAATGTAAAAAACAGCGGCTTACAGTTATAAAAAATAAGTACTTGCTGACCGTTACACCTTGAAGAGGATGCTCGTAAATAGTGAGTGTCCAATAGCAATGCGAATGCATAGATAGATACAGGCCGATTCGCCTTGGTTGGTTGTCACGTTTACGACCACTACCCAATGTTGAATACACACTAAATTCGTGGTATTTATAAAAAAACTATGTGAATAACAATAATACGTAAATAGAACGAAATTAAAGACAACGGAACAGAGGGCAAAGTGAACTTGTGGATTAGTGATATCCCGGAGTTGCAATTTAATGACACAGAATTATATTGCACAAGCTGTGAAAAAGTGCTGTCATGCAACCTCAAATAAAGCTTGTTTTTTTGCTTTATGATAGCTTTGGGTGAAGCAAACGAGAGACATTTTCTCAGTCATAAAAAATGGTAATATTACAGATAATTCATTATTTAGACAACATTTGCAAAGGTGTATTAGTTTACAGTATAGCAATGCTTAGATACCATCGGTAACAACACTAAGAAAAAATATATTTATCACAGAATATGACAACATTAAACAAAAATGTACTCTGAACTGAGTGAAAAATACGTCTGGATTAGCGTGGATGAAACTACCGATGCTTGCGGCTGGAACGTGGCAAATATTTTAGTGGGTGCACTAATACTAGTAATATACTTTTACTCTTGTGATCGCTAGTTAAAAATATGTACATGTGTCTTAGTGTTACATTCACCAATACTTTCAGCACTCTTCGTATTAACTCTGGATGTTACCGAACTTGCCAAAATAACCACAAGGTAAGATATTTTGTGATATATATGCATGAACATATTAACGTGGTGACACATCATCTAGCATCAATCCTGGAACTGTCGTTATTTGTCGCTGGATCTCTAATTATAACATACTACAAAATTGTAATTCATTTCTAAAATTAGTCTGAACTGGTTACACACTTACGTATTAATTATTTCATCAAACGCCTGTACTATTTGTACTACGGAATTATTAAATGCGTGCATAATTTGAATCTTACATGTTATGCAACCCAAAAATTACTTAATTCGAAGCCCGTCCTCATATTAAGTATTTTTACATCATCAGTGATCAACAAAATCTTATTGAAATCATATTTATATACATTGAAAAATCAATTTTGATTGTTGTCTGCTTGCGCTTGTTGTAAATTACAACTCCATATAAAAAATATGGTTGTTGTCCAGAGAAAACAAATATTAATAAACATCTATAGTTTTTCTCATAAAAGTCTAATTTATCGTCTCATTTCAGTCGTTTTTAGATTTATCTAGAATAACATAGTTTGTGGAAGAAAATATAAAAACTTTATTATAATCAAATGCTGTAGAGACGGCGCCTTATATTTTCCCATATAACTTTCTGTCGCAAAATAAATTGATAGCCGCAAGTCGAAATAAAGAACAGTCACGGAATTAAGGATATGAGCTTTCCTAGAGCAAAAACTAGCGAAGCAAAGATAACATTGTCGAAGGTGTAATTTTTTTAAAAGGACCATGTTCAACTTATTAGATGTAATATAACAAATCTTGTAGCTAGTACGGATAAATCATTCAAATAGAGGTCGCTAGAAACATCAGCAGCAAATGTCGTTAGACGCATCAATATCCTAAATGAGACACTTTATAATAGAATCTCCTCCACTGACATATAAATTAGGAGAATAAATGACTATCTAACACTTTTTTTGTGTGCGAAATTGATCCATTAAACTGTGTTACAACCGAAATATATTTAATACTTTTTGTCTATGCTATATTTATATAAAGCTTTTGTTGATTATTAAGTAACTGGTCGTAAAAACGACGAAAAATATAGAATTAAAACGACGTGATTTATTTATGTCATTATATAATTAAGACAAAAATGCAACGCACCGGAAATACAACGCTTTGCATAAATATTCCAATAGGTCGAGGGGATATTTTACATTCTGTGACATCGTCGAACACGTAAAAAAATACGCCATCAAAAATTGAAAACGCCAGTAGACCTAAAAGCTCTTTTACATCTGTAGGTACTTACCCTGAGTTTTGTGGTATTCAATTTTGAACAGGCACGTGCATTTTCAACGCATTGCTTTTAAATTTTACACT